TCAACATATATAATAAAAATGTAACTTACATATATATAAATATATATATAATAAATTTATATGTTATTAAATTATAACTTGATATTAGAAATAATTGTTATAAAATTAAAAGTGATTCTAATTATTTAAGAAATTCAATATAATTAATATTATAAATAAGATAGACATAAAAATAAGAAATAATTTTAATAGTTTATTAAAAAATAAACAAAGGATAATGTCCTTATTGCTTTTGAAATCTTTCACTGGCTCAAATCTCATCGCCATGGGTCTGATGGTTATATGGCTGGTTTTGTTTATGAGTAAGATTAAGTAGAAATCTTTTAAATATTAAATATATTAAATTTTAGAAAGAATTTTGGCAAAATGATATATTGATGTGGCATTTTAATAAAAAAGAAAAAAAGGAGAGATGTGCCACATAAGAGAGAGAAAAATTAAGAGCAAACACTACTTTTAATAATACCTAGCGGTTGACATTGCACGTGTTATTTTTTTTTTTTTTCAAAAAAATATTTGATGGTATAGATGTGTTATAAAAAAATAAAATTAAAGTATGATTTTAATTACTTATTTTGATAATATTGGTGCTATCGTTCTATAAAATTGTTACTTGAATAGTTATATATATTAATTTTAGTTAAATTATTAGTGTATTTTGATAATTTTAGTTCTATCGTATTATAAAAGTGTAATTATCATATAATAATTGTGTATGATATATATCAAACTATAAAATATTAAAATAAATACTCATCTTGATATTAAAAATAATAATACAAAATTAAAAATAATTCTAACTATTTAATTTTCTTTTATGTTCATTTGGAAAATAAAAATATGTAGAAATAGAAATTATATCAAATTTATTAAAAAAATTAAACATAAATATGTTATAATTGGACATATAATAATTTTATATGATATATATATTATAATATTGTAAAATAAACAATCTTAATTAAATTAAAATATCAACTATATAAAAAAAATTCAACAACGACTAACCAATAAACAATCACATAACATCATCTAAACCCAAACTTTAGAGGTTTATCGAGAGTAAGTTTTTCCTCCTGTGAGCTGTGATTAAATAAAATAATGTAGAAAATAAAGTACAATTTCCATATGTAAAAATCACTATAAAATTTAAACGATAAATTCATAATATAGAATAATGCACACGAAAATAATAATAAGAAAAAAAAAAGGAAAAAAAAAAAAAGAGAGGCAATTTAGCATAAAAATATCCTAATACCTTTGAAAGAATTAAGAAGAAAAACATGAAATGCAAAATTAGTATTGGGTTTATAAATTATCTCAATTTACCATGAAAAATATATGAAAAATAAATAAAATAAACATTAAGAGCTCTAATTTTGGAACTCTAAAAAAAACTCTAGTGATGTGGCAAGCAGTGGGGTCCACATGTGATGTGATATGTGTGTATATATATATATATATATATTCTCTTACTCTCACTAGAACTCTCTTTAGAGTTTCAAAATTAGAATTCTCTATTATTGTTGAAAGAAATATTTATCAAATAGAGTACATATAAAATAGGTGAAGTTCATATAATTTAAATTAAGTTTGGATTTGTGCAAAACTTTATATGTAATTAAGAAAATACATACTGACGTGACTCTCTTAAAAAAAACAAACCCTTATAATGTGTCACCTAACTACGAAAAAAACATTACTTTTAATAATATATATATATATATGATTTTAGAGAAGAGTTCTTTCTGTATTGAACATATTCATCTTTGTTGCACAACTTCACTTTTTTACAATCTTTCTTGCATCAATAACTATTAGAATTATTATTTTTTTTTTGATAAATAAACTATTAGAATTAATTTCACCATGTGCTAGATTTTAATAGAAAAATATATTCAAGCTCTCTTCCTTTCATTACAAATTCAATGTAACATCCAATGAAAGAAAATACCAGTGTTAATACATGATGAAGTCTTGAAGACATCAAATATGATGATTCTAATGGGCATTTCAACTGAATAAATGACAGAATAAAACAAATAATGATAAGTCAAGTTCTTGTTCTTCCTGATTATAGGATTTTTACAGAGAAATAATAGAATGAAGACACCAAAGCAAAATAGATAGCAGAAACCTGTAACGGAAGCTTGAAGAAGCCAGCGTCTGAAGATGTTTGTGTCATTGCTCAGAAGATTACATATAAAGGGGATAACATACGCCCTGCAACTTCCTCACTCCAACTAAAACTAAAACGGCTTAGACAAACATAATAGCAAGACCACTTCTAGAATTGTGAAAACACTAGGAGGCCACATGAAGATTTTGCCATCAACATATTCACAATGTTGAAAACTTTTCAAAGAAAACCCAAGCTTAATACTAATATCAAAGGAAGTAAATTTAAAGTCAGAAAACCGACTGAACTTTAACCGATTAATATAATATATGAGCCAGGAAAAACCAACAAGATCAGTCGAAGTTCGAGTTTTTTCCTGTTTTCAATGCTTGGATTGAGAAATTAGTTCCAAATGTACCGTCAGTTTTCTGTATGACAAAGTTTGGTCTGAATAGACCCACCTAAAATCAATTTGAGCTAAGGTAGTAACTATACATTTCTTTTTCAGACTATTCTTTCTATTAATCTGATTTCTAAAAATGGGTCAATAGGTTTGCTCATACTCCAGCAACTAACAAATCTGGACTCATAAAATTTGCCGAAAAATTATCCATATGTTCCTCTTTACTTCATGTATGGTAACTTTTTGTTTGTAGTCACAACAATGACAATCACTCAAGATATATACTCGAACACAAAAATATGACGCCAGTATCAAGGTTAAACTCCAATAGAAATACACTTCCTACCAGCTGCTTCTTGAAAGAACTTCCAAAATTTCAAACTTCGTATGAACCCCATTTCATGATAGAAAAGAAGTCAATGGCATGTTTACAATAGATTCACAATGCATCAGAAAACTAATGCAAAAATATTAAGCATATCTGGGCAGTGGAATTATCGAACCAAAGCAAGTCATGAAACACACCAAAGATCAAACAGAAGAAGCTTACAAGGTATTGTTACAAGGATCAATGGCCAAAATCCAAAGAAGAAAGTTCCACCAATGGATAGTAAAAGTTTAGCCCATGGAATCAAACCCCGAAATAAAAAAAAACAGAAGAAAATTGAAGTCTTCTTCCTTACATACATGCATAAATGCTAAATGCATTCACACATGCGCGGAAAAAGAAAAGTCCCAAAACAAAAAAGAAATCTTTTCCAATAAGCAAAACGTATTCAATAAAACTCATGCTGTGCACCGCTTTTAATCAATTATCCAATATTTTACTTTAATTTGCTGCATAGAGGAATTCCAAATAAAATTTTAGAATTAATTTACTGTTGCAAAACATGTGCATTGCAAAAAAGTAAAAGTCATTGCATGATAAATTACATCAAATTCCTATACTCAAACAGTACATTGAGTACCACCTGGAGTGCCGAAGCTCCACATATTCTAATAATTAACAAGTCAAATCGATACGGAAGATAATAAATCTAATAAATTAAACCTTCCATGCAAGTAATTATTACCTCTGACAAAATTGCAGAAATATGAAACAGGTGAACTTCATCAAATTTATATAATCATTGTCAGTGACAGCATCTAAGAATCATCTTTGTTGGCTTGAACTACATGATAATAAAGCACTATTTTTTTAAATAAAAAATTCCAAGCTATACTGAACACATAACAAATGGACCTTAACAACTAATTTTATTCACATTAAAAGAGAATGATAAATGATCACAACCCATAATATAAGCTTATTCAAGCATACATATGCCTTTGAATACTCCATAGGCCTGGTGACTTTGATGCATAATAACATGAGGTAATTTTGATTATTATATCAAAGCAACGCTTACAGAGTCATCATTCTCTTTCACATAATTACTTCAATTAGGTTCACTTGGGCAGCATTCCAAGAATTTTGTCTTCATATTTCAGAAGCTTAGTTTCCTCTGTCTTCACCTTTAGTTTATATGAATTCTTACTGGTTTGTTCTGGTTCAATTTCTTGGCATTAGATGCATTTGGTTCATTAACAATCAGATTACTAGTATCGTATGAGTATATCTGTATTTATATGCATAGATAACTAATATAATAGCATATAAAGGCATTGAAGTTTTAAAGGATATTTATTTAAAAAGAAAAAATATGACTGCTAGAAGAAAAATAAATATTGTGATGCATTTTTATCAGGGGCCAACCAAAAAAAAAGGAGCAAATTTATCAGCAGAAAATGATTTTACAAAGCAATGAAATAATAGATGCAAATAAGGGATGTAGAACATTGAGCTAAGCAACTGAGTGAACTATAGAGAAAAAAAATGCCAAACTCAAGTCCTTCACTGTTCAGTACCACAGAACGTTCCCTTTGATTAGATAAGCTTTTCTCATAATCTGTTCACTCCTATTGCTTTCCTCACTCGAGCAATCGTTTCTGAAAAAAAATGCCAAACTCAAGTCCTTCACTGTTCAGTACCACAGAACGTTCCCTTTGATTAGATAAGCTTTTCTCATAATCTGTTGACACTGCATTTCTTTTTGAGGACCCTCCCTCTTCTTCCATAAATTTTATCTCCTCATCACCATAGATACTCCTATTGCTTTCCTCACTCGAGCAATCGTTTCTTTAATTCTTTCATAAACAATGACTCACAGTAGGTTCTTCACCTGAAAAGCAAAGGAAATATAAGACTACCTTATTGTTTTTTTTTCTTCTCATTATTATTTTTTTTAATCTTGTTTAGAACCAAGAAAGATGGCCACATGGCAATTGATACTTCAGTACAAGCTAAATAGTCAATCCCATGACAGTACCACTAATGAAGTCACAATCACTTGTCCACCACCAATTCAATATCAGACTAAGAAAAATGATATATAAGCCATCTTTTTAGACCTATTTTTAAGACCTAGTGACGTGTGAAAAAACAATTTCACTGATTTGGGAACTATTTCAATCTGAATCATCAAATTAACTCAACACACAAGTTGGAATCTTTGGAAAACACAACTTCGTTGATTTTGCAAACTACTTTGAATCATCATACTAATCTCAAACTACAAATTCAACATTCAAATGGCCAAAAAAAAGTAAAACATGTCCAGGGGATCAGTAGTAGTTAACAGATGTTAACACGAAAAGAAATAGTTTTGAACACATTGACAAAAGTAGAGTCGCCTCCATCAATATTCAAGCTTGCTTTTTACTGTTGTGGGTTGTTCTTGTTTTCCTCCTTCATTGCTGCAGATTTGTTGTACTCTTCCAATTCCTTCTTGTATGCCTCATTGGCTTCTGCAGCTTTTTCATTCCAGGTTTGCTTATCTACTTCACTCAATTCCTACAAGTACAAAAACCAAAATTGTTAGTACTTCTTTTTAGATTTTCAAAAAAAGAATTATCCAAACAGTTCAATTTCACACCTTCCATTTCACTGAAATGAGGGCATTAAGGGTAGAGTTATTAATTCCCAGCCTTTCTTCCAACAAGTTCTTCCTTGCCTCTTTGCTGTATTATCAACAAAAATAACATAGCATAAGAAAATATAAAGCAAATTTCATTACAGTTTGTTACTGTTATTGTCTGCTAATTCTTTGATTCACCTTCATTACAGTTTGTTACTGTTATTGTCTGCTAATTCTTTGATTCACCTCCATATATGGCTAATCCACAACTACTAGCAATTCTAGCATCATTGTGAATAAAAATAAAATGACCAAAATTTTAGGCATTTACTAAAATCTTGCTAGGTATATATATATAGGTGCTTATAACGTATTTTAAAATGACTGACCTGAATAGAAGGAATGAGGATGCGGGCTTCTTTGGTTTGTTGGGATCAAGAATCTTCTTCTTCTTCTGGCAATTCTCTTTCATTTTCTGTTACAAGAGCACACACAATTAGCGGTTGCAAAAGCCAAGCTTCACAAGAAGGTATCTACAAATTCATTGTTATAAGGCCAAACCTTGATTATGTTATCGGTTTTCTCTTTCTTCTTGAGCAATTGCAAGGCTTCTTGCTTGTGAATTTTCATCATCTCATTCTCTTCTTTTTTGAGATTGGCAGACTCTTCCTGCTTCCTCTGCTTGTAAGCCTCCATTTCTTCCAAATACTTTTCCTTGTTTTGCTTTGCAATCTGCAAGTTCCCAAAATATGAAATTGCTGTTGCAGAGACAGAGAGAGAAATAGATCGAGAGAGAAAGACAATTAATTCAACCTTTTCATAAGGCTTCTTCTGTTTCTCTGTCATGTTCTTCCATTCTTCACCTGTGATCTTCGCAACCTGTCAAACGATGCCAATTTTACAAATTAGCATATGATCAATAACAAGAATTCAAGAAACTGAAAGTGAGACCTCTTCAATTACCTCCAAGACACTCTTGCTCTCTGCAAGCAGAGCTGCTCTTCGCTCATTTGTGAACACGAAAAACGCAGACATTGGTTGCTTTGGTTTCAATGGATCCTTTTCTTTCCTGTAGAAATTCAATGAGACATAAAGATTAGAGAGAGAGAAGAAGAAGAAGAAGGGGGAGAGAGAAATATAAAGAAAATTACTGAATTTACTTTGTTTTCTTGTTATCCTTTTCGGCTTCCTGTTTGAACTGAAGATACTGGTCAAGCAACTCCATGGCAGTTCTCTGTTTCTGCTCTTCCTCCAACAGCTTCATGGCTTCGTTCTCGCGCTTTTCGTTCCCAACAACCATCAAATAAGCTTCCTTCTCAGCTTGATACTTTTCCTCATAAGGCTTCTTCTCTTCCGCGCTGACCATCTTCCATTTTGTTCCCAAAATGATTGAGGTCTCCTTGAATTCGGCTTCTGGGTTCGCTTTCTTGATCTAAAAACACCAAAACCCATTCAGTGACTTGGAATAAGATCAATGTAGTTTAGAATACTAGACTAATCAAAGAGGGACAAAATGTTTTATGTATATTATTACCTCATTCCATTGATCTTTGCACCATAGGATATAAGGTGGAGATGGCCTTTTTATTTGAGGGCAACCTTTCTTCTTCTTGTCTTTCTTTTCTAGTTCTTTCTCTCTCAGAGATTGAACAATAGGGAATGTCTAGAGAAGAAAAAAAAAAAAAAACCATCAAACACTAGAACCAGAAATCAAGAATCATCAACTCTGTTCTGTTTTTGAGAAAATGTAGGAAAATTTAGGGGGAAAACCAAACCAAGAATCATCAACTCTGAACCATCAATCTGGGTTCTTTTCAGTTTCCCTTTCTAAACTCTATAAACTTTTCGACATTCCCTCAGAAACCAAACAGCGTTTAAAAAATTAGGAAAACAGAAATCAAGAATCACATCAACTCTGTTCAGTTTCTGAGAAAATGTAGGAAAATTACCCTTTCTAAAGTTCCTTCATTTTCCCCACATTTTCTCAGCAACCAAGCAACCAAACATCGTATTGATGTGGAAAAAAAAAAGAAAGGAAATCAAGAAAACGAACCATGGTGGGTTTGAACTCTTTCATTTTCTGCAACTTCTTGAGCTCCGTCTGAAGCTTTTCTTGCTCTTTCCCCCTTGTTTCAAGCTCCTCTTCCTTCATCTTCAAAGTCTCCTCTCGTGCCTTCAATAGCTCCTCAGTTTGCTCCTTCTCGATCCTCAACTGTTGAAGCTTTTCTTGCATTTCTTGCAACTCCTTCTCAACAGATTGATTTTGTGGTTGTTGTTGTTGTTTCGCTTTCGTACCTGCTTTCTTAGTTTTCTTGGCGGATTGAGGCTGTGAGAGGCTCTCATGGTTTTCTTTCCCAGCAGAGTCCTCCAATGGCGGCGCATTCTGAGTCGGAGAGGGTTGAGAGATCACTGAGGCCAAAATGTTGGCCTCATTTGATGATGAGTTTGTTTGCTTCAATGCCTTTCTGGACCTGCTTTTCTTTGTAGGAACTGGTTCTGCTGCAATGGTTGCCATGAGAGAGAGAGAGAGAGATTTAGTTCTGAAATGTTGTTTGTTAAGGGAGAGCGGGTTTTATACACAGGGAGATGGGAGGGTTAACGGTTATATTTTTCGAATTCAAATAAATTGTTGAGATTGTGAGGAGTGCTGAGAGTTTTTCTATGTTGTTTTCGACCGTTGGTGGGGATGAAAGTGGATAGTCACTTGCCTCAGTTAATATGTTACCACAACCAAAATATTATACAAAGTAATAAAATTAAGGTTAGGCTGGTGATGGACGGCGGTGGAGATTGGGCTGCGATGGGAGTCGGAAAGGGGAGTCGTGGTGGTGGTGGTGGTTGAGGACGGCAGCCGAAGGTGGCGGAGGCTGGTGATGATGATGGTGTGTGTTGAGAGATTAGGGTTTAGAAGTTTGTCCAATAAGGTATTTTTACCATGGGACAAAATTGTAATATAAAAACAGAGAGCAATAGTGTGTCCTAGATGTGGAAATAGAATTTCCTTTTAAGATTTGCTTAAAATATGAGTTGTTTTTTGTAATTTAAAAAATAATATAAATTTCTCATTTTGCCCTTCTTTTAAATTCATAAATAATATAAAAAGTACAATTATGACATTGATATTCTCAAAAAAGTGTACTATCAAAGGGTAATTTTGGAAAATCAACTTTTTAAAAGTACAATAATTGTACTACCAAAAAAAGTTGAATTCCCCAAAAGGGACCATTATTTTGGGACGGAGGGAGTAATATAAAACAGAGAGCAATAGTGTGTCCTAGATGTGGAAATAGAATTTCCTTTTAAGATTTGCTTAAAATATGAGTTGTTTTTTGTAATTTAAAAAATTATAAATATCACTCTTTCTAAATTTTTTATTTAATAGAGCCTCCGTTTGGGAAGTGAGTTGGCTTTTTGGATTTTTGACTTTTTTGGCTATTTTAGGCTGGGCTAAAAAGTTTGGTTTGGGAAGGGCTTTTTGACCTTTTAGCTTTTTTGATTTTTTTTTGTGAGAGAAGAGTGTAATGATTATGGGTTGGATGTGATATTTTGTTTTTTGTGGCTAAAATAGCCTATTTTGTTTTTTGTGGCTAAAATAGCCAAAAAAGCCCTGTTTAGCTCTTGCCAAACGGAGTCAGAATTAATTAAAAAAGTAAAATTTCTAGCTGTTCACCTCTACTATAATAAATTTTTTTGAATTATTATTTAAAATAAAATTTTAACATTATTAAAAACTGTTAATTAACTTGATGATTTATTAATAAAATGTCCTATTTGTTATGAAATTAGAAATCTTAAGAGGCATAATGTAATTTTTAAAATCATAGGGAGTAATTTGTAATTTACATAAATTTCAAAGGATGTATTTGTAATTTATCCAAAAATTAAATATTTATTTTTTTTCTTAGTGGGGGTGTAATGCAATAAAAAAAAATGAAATTTAAAACAAGATATCACATAAATGAGTAAATTTTTATTTTTATTTTTTTTGTGTGAGATTTGATAATTTATATAGCATTACTCTTATCAAAATGAATATTGTACCAGATTTTAATAAAAAAAAACTATAAAATTAGGAGAGAATAACAATTTAGAGAGATATAGGATAACTATTTATAATTCAGTGGTTAAATTTTAAAATTACAAAAGAGATGACAAAAATTTAAAAAAAAAAAAAAAAAATTGAATCTCAAATAAAGGGACAAAAATGACTGTCTCACTCAGACCTTGCCATCCCCACCACTTTTCTACCCTCCTCCGCCACCACCCACTTCCTCCATTCCCAGCCCCTCCTCACCTTTCCTATGCCTAGGTAGGTTGTCATACACTAGCCCCCCCTCTACCCTTTCTTCACTCGTAAGATAAATAACTAAAATCAAATAATTTTGTCAATTTGTAGACTAGTTGATATTGAAGATGTAATATAAATCTGCCTTAAAAATCAATGAATGAATGTTAAATTATCCGTTGAACATGTTTTTTTATCTTTCAAATGAAAACAAAAGTGATTGTTTTGGGTTTGTGATTGAAAACTTTCTAATCCATTGTTTGTTTGTTTCTTGAGAAAAAAGACAGAGATGTAGATGAGAAAAGTTTCTTGGCTTTTATTGTTGTTGTTATCAAATACAAAAGGCATGTTTAACAAAAAAGCCATTTTTTTCATATAATTTTTTCCTCTAATTATTATTTGTTAATATATTTAGGAATCTATGCCATATATATATCAATACCTAATATATTTGGGAATATATGCCATATATATATTAACATTATTATTATTATTACTACTACTACTTTTAGAATTTTTTATTCTAGAATGTAAATCAAAAAATGTCACTAAAGTTGTAAAAAAAAAAAAAAAAAACTAATCCCCACCTGACTTTTCTCAATAATAAAAAATTGTCTAAGGCATCAATTTCTTTAACAACAGGATCCTTATATTAAAAATAAAAGATAAAATGAATTAATAGATTAAGACCTTTAAACTATCATAACTGCCTATTTTGGTGGAACATGGTTAGAAGTCCGTTTTTTTATTTTTTTGAATAGTATATTGCCTCTTTATTTTTTTTCATATTTAAAAAAAAAAATAATCTTTTAACCTCCCTTTTCAAAATATGCATTAAAATTTGGAAAAATTAATGGTAAATCCCAAATTATGGAATGTTTTTTCTTATGCACTATTTGGTTCAATTTTGTTGGTAAGGAATATTTTAAGTTGGTAGGGAATGGATGGAGTTTACTTTTTCATCCATTGTGACAGATTTTGAAAGATTTCATTAAGTAATGTTTGAATATCAATGTGAAAGATAAGTTTTGACATTTTCATTTCTTATTGATGTGAGCCATATACTAGACTATGGAATCAGTTTCCATTTCCATTTCCATTTCGTATCATTGTGAGGAATATCCTTAATTGATGTTGTGGTGTCAATGCGGAAGGCAATGTTTAATATTTTTTATGATTATTATTAAATTTTAAATTTGCAAAAAATTGTATAAAACCAAGATCCTACTTTTTCACTTCTCGAGTGTGGATCTCAAACAAATCCCTTGATTTTTTGTTCAAACAAGAGATTTTAAATACAACTCCGCTACATAGCTCGAATTATTAATGGCTCGAATGGCCCGAAATCCAAAACGACGTCGTTTTGGAAATTTTTTTTCTTTTTTCTTTTTTCCTTCTCATTTGTCTAAAGAAGAAGAAGAGTCTATGAAGAAGAAAAAAACAAATCATCATCAACATCATCTTCTTCATCACATCATCATCAGTCAATATTTTTTTTTTCTTCCCCCTTTCACCATCAGATCTAGATCTACTAGAAAAAAAAAAGAGGACTTCTTGATAATTTGCCCATAATTTATTTTCTTTATTTTTTAAAGGGTAGTCTTATTATTGCCCCCACCCAAAAAAAAAAAAAAAATTAGAAATTGCACCCTCCATCACCGTCGCCCCGCCCCACCATCACCGTCACACCACCGTCGCCCTGCCCTGCCATCACCGTCGCCTCTCTCTCTCTGTCTCTCTTCTCTCCTCCTCTCTTTCTCCCTCTCTCTTGCCCTCCCCCTATGTGTTCAAATATAAACAAGAAAAAAAAAAAAAAAAAAAACATTGCCAAAACGACGCCGTTTGGCATTCGGACGTTCGAGCGCTCACGCATTTTTCTTTTAAATATAACTTTCACTTGAAGATTGTGTCATTGCGTATGCTCACATGGCAATTTAATATCACACTTATTACTTTGCCATGTACACATTATTTTCAAATTATGATCTATCTGACAGATTGTACAATGATTCTTTTACAATTGAAATAGACAACTTTTCTGGTTCCTAGACTTTTCCAAAAACTAGATATGCATCTGATCAAAATCGTACAATGATTCTCTTCAAATACAAGACAAACTATATCACAACCCATGGACGTTGAATATTGTCCGATAAGACATGAAATTTGAGCCCATTAAACCAATGCATTATAAGAAATTTAAAATTTAATATCCAAATTCAATCAGTGTGTAACTTTATTGTAAACCAATACATAGACAATGATTATCAAATTGCTTTGCAAAACAAATTGATTGGTACATGATTCACATAGCTCTATGATAACACTGAATCCATGACACAAAGCATGTACATTTTTGAATGTCAGCATGAATGGCACTTTTGTCAGTCAGCTAGGTATGTACCTGTCATTCCTCTCTTGGACTGATGGATTTGTGAAGGAATTCAGGTAGAGAAAGAAAAAGTAAAAGACAATACAAGAAGAAAAATTAAGGAAGAAACTAAATTCATTTAGTTGGTATCCCTATCATTTTCCTTTCCTTGATAAATCCTTCACAAATTCATGATCCAAAGATATCCTTGGAATACAATATCCTCCTCACCACTCAAAATCCATCAATTGCCATCGTGGGCATAATCTAAAAAATCCCATGGTTGTGCATTGAATTTGAGATTTAAGGAGGAAATTGTAGAAAGGAAGGAAAAAGTAAAAGAAAAATGACAAAAAATTAGTTTATATTTCTTTCACTTTTCCCTTCTTTTTACCTTTCCTTCCACAAATCCCTGCTTAAGCCTAAGATCCAAACATAACCTCTCATTTGTAGGGAGCAGATATATACACGTTTAATAAATAGGAAAAATGGTAAAAGAAAAAAGAAATGACCCTCACAGCTATGTACATGATATCTACAATCTGGTTGAGTCTTCCAGTTACCAAAAAGGACACCACCTGTAACAAGTAAACTATAACATTTGTCAGAAATCGGATGACTTCAGTAACTAAGCAATTTCAGCTTTTACATGAACTCCGTTGAGAATGTATGTGATTAATCTAGGGATGAGTTCAAATGCCATTTCAGATACAAAAGCCCTAGGTGCCCAGAATGCACAGATGTCTCACAAAAAGTTTGCATGTGGGCTTAAGCTTTTGTGCACATATCATTGCTGTTTAAGCTATGACAATGTTGTACTGTACCATCTAGCATCAAATAGCATTAACAAATATTTGATCACTTCCTGAGTCCCCTAACTCTAATAATGGGCACATCAAATTCGAACGCAAGGGTAGTACTAGTCCACATTTTTTTACATGTACATGTACACATATATACGATAATATAGATGGGTTCATACATATATGATATCAATTATGTAACAACTCTGGAATTGAATCCAACCCGAATAATCTATCTTGAAGGCCCAAATTCAGGGTGTGATATATCAACTAAAATCCAAAGTACACACCCAGCATTGCAAAACAAAAGAGCCCAATGAACAGATAGATCAGAATCTAATGACATATGGATTCACAAAACTAGAGAAGGCATGGCAGGAATTTAATATAATCTATATGGTAGAATTTCATTCTATCATGAGACCAAAAAATTAAAGACACAAGGGAATGGATAAAAATAAAATTGAGGGCCAGAGACCCTATGAACAAGACGAGGATTATACGTGAGTAAAATATGGTAAACTTAAAGAGTGCAAGTCTCTGCCCATAAAATTGTTGCTTGCCAAGCACTTGAATAAAATATAAAGCTCATATATGAAGTTAAAAAAAACACCCAATGGATCAGATGCATATAAAAGGACAATGAAGAAACCGTGTGAAATCATACCCGACATAATTTTGGCACAAATTTTCATGAGATGAAGCTTGCAGTATCAGCTTTTGAACTTGTAATTTAACAGATAAACCATGTTCAACTTCGCGAGTATCTCCAGAAATCAAGGTATCGTGGTCTACTGCATGATAGATAGAGTTGGTTGATACCGAAGAAGAAGTTGAAAAATCACGACCTGTAAGCTTATTACTCATCCGAGCCATAACAACCACAGCACGCTCAATCAAGACCCCATTAGCATCACCTAGTTGATTGACAGCCTGCACATACTCATTTAAACTATTAAGTATGATATTTTGTCTTTGTTTTTATTTTTTGGTTAAGCATAAACTGTAAGCATGATTCACCAGCACACTGGCAGAACTTCCTCACATTCAGAATTTATCAATACCTGAAGTTGTTCCCTCTCCCGAGCACCCCGTTGAGGTTGAAGCAGCTCTCCGTTTGGAGCAATTTCTTCACTGTTCACAACTGGGGGCACATGAGCACCCACAATAGTTGATATTTGAGGGACTTCATTGCAGTTGAAAAGACGCCAGTTTATCAGAGGATCATGAACGAAGGCCTGAAAACAGGTCGAACTAAAATTGGCTTCCATGTTATATAGTGGAATATTAGCTACTTTAAAATGATTTTACCATCAATGACGGTGCCAATTTTCATGTGGAAGGAAAAAGACATAAAAAGAAGGAATGTGAGTGAAATAAAAACAAATTGTTTACATTAACGATTCTATTTCCTCATAGTTATACCTTTAACAAATAGGTGGGATAGTAAAAATTTACTGCCTGTGTTCTAAGGAATTTCCCACAGTTTGAGGGATCGAAGTTAATTTAATTGATTTGAGCCAGACTAAGCCAGAAAAAGCTCATTGAAACAGATACAGAACACAGGAAATTTATGGTGTCTATACCTCCATCATAGCCATGACACTATCCTTATTTGCTCTGAGAACCTGCATCACATTTTCGCACGTTGAACGGAAGTTGCCTTCAATACCGCTAACCTCCATAGCTTTCACAAGCATTCTAGTCAGTCGGAATGGAACCTACATTATCACCTTCATGTCAGAGGTCCTAACATAAACCAACACCATAAGAGGCCATACATGTGTAAGGTTTTGAAGGCAGTAAATCTAGAATAGCATACCTTTTCAGGGAACTTCTCCCGGTTCATTGAAGCTTCAAAACAGTCTCCAAAATCAATGTGCAATATCTTCCCACTGAAAACAACATATCATATGAATACTTTCAAAACCTTAATCATAAATACAACTACTTGTTCTCTTCCAATCATAAAATACCTGTAACGATGCAACATTATGTTGCTAGGGTGTCGATCACCTAAGCCAAGAAGGTAACCAACCTGAAACATTACCCAGATATCTTAAAATACAATTTTGAAACAAAAACAAATGAAAAGAACTGCATAGATCATATTCATTTGAAGTTGTCGGCAAAATCAAGCATGGTCAGGGCACACTTGCAAGTGAGTTCAGATACATTTGTTGACCTCAAGTAATTTTGAGTTTCTAGATTACGGTAAGAGACTCTGAATTTTATTTACTCTTTACTTTTTGTTGAGCACTACATAAACACAACAAATTATTCATAATCACCCAACTAGCTGATTTAGAGTCCAAATATGCACCAAGGACCCACCTACTAAAGTAAAATAATATGATTTAGAAAAAACAGAAAAAGTCAAATACCCAAAATCGTCTCTGCCAATTGTTGGCCTAAAATATGCTATGAGGGGGACCATCTAACCAAAGAAAGAAAAGTATAATCAAATAACATACATTTACTTCGAAATATTCTCTTATCAAAACATTTCTAAGGCATAAAAGGCTGACAAATAAGATCATTCATGGGAGCCATATTGTGTTGATTTTGTGGAAACATATACAGCTGGATCCTGCTCGTTTTAAGAAAATGATCTAAGTAATACGAGAAGAAAAATGATACCATGCTCATGACAGCCAAGCTTCTAGTATAATTTGTCCTCCTGTCCAGCCAATTCTCAGAAGTGCGACTTTTTAACCAAAGCACCTATCAAGAGGCAATGTAACTAACTTGAGAAAAGAATTCCCAGGAGAGAGAGCCAAAGATGCCACATATTTCTTGAAGAAAACATACCCGTGCCAGGTCATTTCCTTCAGTATTTTGCAGAGCATACTCAAACACCTCCACTTTAGCTATAAGTGGCAAATGGTCATAATCTTGAGCAAAATTAAGCATGTGTTTGTGCTCTAGATTTAAGGTGATCTATATACCAGAAACATGCACAAAAAATTAGAAGAAATGCACACACACACACACACACAAAGCATCAAATGAAACTTAGTGGACCTTTCTAGCATCTCTATACTCCCGAATGAGCTGGTGCAGGGTGTCACAATTCGGTACCCATCCTATTAATCCACTGTTTGGAGACAATGGAATGACAGCATATCTTTGAATAGAAAGATCCTTCTCTGCAGTGTTTCTGGAATTTTCCAGAAGTGTGTTCACCAAACCAAAGAGCTGGCCAACATGTAAAATAAAATGTCAGTGATAGAGTAACAAAAATAATACAAAAACACCACGTGCAATACCAATTTTGTAAACATAAGCATAGTTATCAAAATCCCGATCTGGATCTTACGATCCTACGATCTTACGATCCATTTGAGTACAATTGATCCGAATCATGTAAAAAGCTCCCTATAGGTAGGATCTTTCGATCCTAGTAGTGGGATCTTATAGGATCGTGGAATCCCGATCCGAATCCAATCATATCCGATCCAATTTATAAGCCTTGTTTTGTATTGTAAGACATTTTTTGTTGTAAATTTTATGTTTGTTGTCTAAATACCAATTTATGCCGTCAAAATAAATAATAAAAATTAAGTAGTATTGAATCAAATAGACTAAGAAAAACAAACTAGGAAACAAGCATTCAAATATTGCGGTAATTTAAGAAAATTAAATAGTCGGAAAAACAAACTTAGCTTTAGCGGAGTCTAAGAAGGGTAAGATGATTGCAACTTTATCCCAATTTCTAGAGAAATTATTTTTGTGACTCGAATCCGCTCCACCAGGGATGCTAACGACAAACCTTATCATTCGACTAAGCTACTCTTTTGAATTCTTAATCTATTTTCATTTCCAATTTTGTTAAATATTTTTTCTTCACTTTTTATGAATTATTGTACACTGTAAAGTATTTTGTTATAAAATTCTTCTTCTTCTTCACCTTCTTTTTTGATAAAATACAAAACTTTTACCATCAAGTTTTCTATTGCATAATATTATATGTACATTTTACATGGAGTATTATATTTTTCACAATATATTCACTTCTTTTTAATAGAATATAGGTTCATTTTGTGTATACTTTATAAGAAATATTTATTTAAATTAAATTATTATGTAATTTGTCTTTTTCGGTAGGATCTTACGATCCTCGATCCGATTCTACGATCCGATCCTATAAACACCTCTAACGATCCAACGTAGGATCCCGATTTTAACAACATTCTGTGCCTTAGAATCCTCGCAACATGGAGAACACCACCACCCACTAGCACATAGTATAGCAGGCAGTCTATCAGAAAAGAGGAAAAACCTGCATGACTCGTTCATCTTGGCGTAAATCTTCATGCCCCTTAAGGAGGAAGGCATAATCTTCTCCATCACTCCCATGAATTGTCAATTTCCGTGGTCGCTGTTTAGATGTTATGATAACAAGCTCAGGTGCAAATGATGCAATTGTAACCAGTGGAGAATCTGAAGTATCGAAAAATAGTGCACATCAATGCATTGAAGAGACAGAACCCGATTTAAGTCTAATCAAACCATAACCCAGATTTTACCTGCTCGGTAAGTGCCAGGAACAGCAAGCTCCAAATTTTGGCACTCTACCAATTCAGGGGAAACAGACTGGTTATGCAAAAGGATAAGAGGTTAGTGTCAGAGTAACAACATATGTGAATCAAACATGAAGACAGATATGATTCTTGCCTGCAGGTCCAGGCTAGTGAGAGTTTGAAGCTGCTTTTCTATCCGTCTGAAGACATGATAATACAGATCCCATGCCTGGTTGAAAAATAAACTTCAAATTGTCAAGGAAACAGATTAAAAAAATAAGTAGTTCCCTAGGTAACTAGGTGTGCCATGCACGCAAGTTCAAACACAGAACATTAACAAAAAATTCTATTGCATTTACATACCAATATGAAGGACATTGTATTTCTGCTCTTTTACTTATATATGTTTGCTTTTATTCCAAATTAAATAACTAGTGTATGAATCAACTTATTTCCCAAACTACAGATAACATAAAAAATGGATGCTGCAGAAACAAAGACTTCTTAAAAGAAATCAAAAGAGAAGCAAAAGGCTCCAAATCAAGAGCATCGACCAAGGAAAGTAGGTTTAGGTCCATGCCCAGCATTAAACTTTTCCAGGTGCAATGGAAGTTTTAATGACACCAGGATGACCAGTAGAAATGTAAGGAAAGGGTATAGATGAAGGAGTGAAGGCAAAAATGCAAAAACTTGAAGAGGGAAAAGAATACAAAATAGAAACATTAAAAAGATTACGTATGGCTGACCTTATACCATTCATGAGAATCTCGAGCAGTAATGATAGCTATATCATGATCACTACTAATTAAGAAATGCAGTGCCACAAGTAGAAACAATATGACAAACACGCAAATTTGAAGAAAATAAATAAATAACAATTCAAGTAAGACTGATAACTGAAGTTTTATTCTTCAAGTAGACAGATCGTTTCTACCTGTGTAAGTTCTGCATCTTTTCCAGTTTTCTTATATTTCATGCAGCATTCGTAGGCTTCCAATAATTCATGGTGGTATGCCTGAAATTCATATGAAGATGCAATAGTTAATAAAATGATCAAGTTGATAAACAGTTTCTTCAATGAAGGGGTCTGTATATTAAAAGGTTTCAGCATTTAAAAAAAAAAATCTCCATTTCTTGATTCAGGGCAGGCAAGAAAGGAAGCATAGCATGCACGGCACTTCTTGCTCTTTAATAATGCTAGTGTGTCTGATGCTATATAAATTACTCTCGAGGTTGAACAGACATAGAAGCAATTAGCAAGCCCCACAGGATCTAAAATTGCATTTAAAAATGTAGATTGGACTATATAACAAAAAAAATGTTGCACAGTAAGACTATAGACCAAACACACACACACACACGCATATATATATATATATATTTCAACTTGTATGGAATAAAATTTGGGTGGATTTTACGATAGTTAGAAAAATACCTGGATGAAAGCCTTCTCTTTCATGGTTGTGTTGTTTCTCATTGCCCCTTCCTCGAGGACTTCATGCAATGGCTCTAACACCTTCAGCATACCCTCAATGTTATGTTCACCGAAATATAAACGACTGGCTTCTTCCAGTGCCTCATGCCACATCTCATGCCAAAGTATTGCGACCCTGATTAACTCATTCGATACCAGTTGTGCCTTCAAAACAAGAACCTAATTGTCAGACCAATAAAATACGGCAAAAACAAACAACTTACTATAGCTATTGTTCCACCTGATCCACAAGTACACCACTATGCTGCCGAACTTTGTCAACCACTTCTTGAGCTGCAGCTTTACGTGTATTGCTTATTGATTTACATGCCACAAGAAGAGGGTACATAAGCGCCTGTGAAAGAAATTGAATTACTTTTGAAACATCTAAACGTTAACAAACATTATTCAGAGACAACCATGGGAACATCTAATGCAGAAGAAGAGCAGTGCATCAATTAACATCATTTTGTTAGAAACTTCGGAAATAATATTGCACAAATTGCATAAGAGAAAGTTAACGCACTTCAATAACAATAATATAAGTATTTTCACAAAAAGATGTCGAGTTAGGACATAATTTTAAGAAACCTTATACAAGAATTAAGTGAGAAAGCTGATGATGGGGCATAGCAAGCAAATTTGCCACATAAATTTAAAGGTGGTTTATTGATGCCACGCCATGTTTTTTGAGTGATAACAAATATCATAAGATCTGGATATCCCAAAAAAGGCTGGGGGCCTAGCGACAATCAGGAATCCTTGTCAATCCAAAGAAAAACATCCATGCCGGTGAGCCAAGTCTGAATTTATATTAGCTCTAAGTCAATCTGCCACTGGTCAATGTAGAATGTTTTGTCACCTTTTAGAAGCCAACAGAATTTCAGTAATGGGCTTGAGATATTTAATACTTTTTTATATTGATCTTTAGTAGGTGTAGACTAGTATTAGTTCTAGTCTTAGTAACAAATATTCTATTTTGAAATTTTCGTTTTAGTAGGAGAGTAGTAGTAGTAGTAGTAGTAGTAGTAGTAGTAGTAGTACAACTGCTTACATATTATATTATATATGCATGTATTTTTGTAGATGTAAATTTTCTATTTAATTAGACCTCAGTTTAAAGAATTTGAGATTGTTTTTGTGTGACAAAACTTAACAGCTGCAAGAATAAAGCCCAATGCTCTAAGAAAGAATTCTATGTTCTTCTCTTTTTTCTTTCCTCCAGTTTGTACTTGTTGCCAAGAAGACTCTAGGAAACAATTCAAATGAGCTTTAATCAGGCCTAGCTCGAGTAGCTTGGTTTTTTATAGTGTATATAAGCTTATTGAGCCGAGTTCGAGCCAAGCTCATAAAACTAATGAGCTTCAAAATATGTTCAAACTTGACTTGTTTATGTTAGTACTATGACTAGCATAGGTTGGAAATTTCATGACTGTAATGCGCACCTTAGGTAGAACCCAAGCCACTACCTCTTTGGAGAGCACATTGGACTATAAGTGTTCTTCTTCAACACAGAAGAAGCTATGGGAGAGCTTAATCAATGCAGAGATTTCTTTGAAAAAAGATGGAGCCAGGAAGATCTTAAGGAGTGGACAATGATGCCATCTTGGTTGACCAATAATGAAGATTGGTTGACCAGGTGTCTTAGGCCATTGGAACCAGCCAAATAGGTCGGTTGACTTGGTTGAAACCAGGTTCTTAGGCTTTAGTTACAACCTACATAGGGTTGAGCATGCAGAAGCATGGGACGGCCATTGAGAAGTCTAGAGCAAGGTATTCCTCTGCAGTAGGCTACAGACCAACCTGAAAAGGAAATGGACTGACCCACAATGACTTCTCTACTTAAGATCCATGTGTCTGTGGGCAGACCATCACATGCAGAGTGTCAGCTGATAAAGGTGAGGTTAAAAAAAGAAAAAAAGAAAAGAAAAGGAGAGAAGCTATTAGACTAGCTGTTATTTGTCGCTCTATAAATGCCAAGGTTCTTAACATGTGAACTTGATGAGTATGACACTCGGACACAAACTTGCACCCAACACCAGGTATTAATTCATAGTCATAAATTAAGAGAGACAGCAACCTACAAATATATATATATATATATATATGTAGTCTTGTTGTTCATCAGAGTAAAGTTTTTGAGATTTTGTGTGAAGTTATGTGATGCTTTGTGCAGTTTTACCTTAGGCGGTTGTTCTGCTCCTATTCACAATGCACTATTCCCAGGATACTGTTCACAGTCCCCTAAAGGAGAGTCTTTCATCCCAAAAAAACGCTAGCCAATTAATTCCTAATCAACTTTGAAGCTTGGGTAACCAGCTTGGGGAATGATAGAATATCACCCCCTATTTATAGATGAAGATTAGGGTTTACAAGAAAGGCAATTTACAAGATGATCCCTGAGTGCTATCCCTGAGTGCATAAAATGATTACAGACAGACCACAGTGTACCTTTCGGCTAATATAATATGCTAACAAACTTAACCACTTTACTACCTATTAATCTTTCATTTAACCACTAAAAGCTTAAATTACTTGTCATCTAGGCCTCAAATAGCCTCAAATTTTGAAATCCAGCAAGCTAACACTTGTGGAACATAACCAATTTTAGCTCTTCTACAAATCGTAGGACTTATATTCTACCTTTTAAAACCCCAATCCTAGAATCTATTCCTAACCTAAACTCGCCACAAACCCGTTTTCCATCAACAACCACCTATGTTTGATGACACAATTAGGCATCAAATTATATCATTCAGTGCAACAGTCATTACATGGGTGTGATAACAATAATCACTGCTTTCATAATGCCCAATCACGTGGAAGATAAATATGGAAGATAAATATGGAAATTCAGTTAAAAAGGATAGCAGAGAGACTCAAACTATTATTGAATGCTTAAAGTGCTCAGTTGAAGGTAGTTTTCAAATTAATTTAAAAAATCTTTCTTTTTTTTTAAATTAAAATTTAAGCACTAAAATATTTCAGCATTTAAAATTCAATACTAAAATCTTTAGTACTTAACTTTTAGCTTTATGAAACAATCCTAGACTAGTTACTAATTTAACATTAGCTAGTATAATCTTAGTATGAATTCTTAGGGGATGGTTCATACTTCAACCTTGAATAATTTCACCCATCAAGTAAATCACCCAAAAGCTTCAGTGGTGACCCACAAAGAGAGAGAGAGAGCCAGGATGCAATTCAAAACAGAAATCTAAGAATGCAATGTCTTGATCATGAAATTTTATTGCTCAAGAGAAAACAAAAAACATTTAACAACAATAACAATCAAGAGACAAAACCAAGTCAAAGAAACATAGTACTTTCTTTTCCATTAATTATTTAGATAGATGCATACTATAAATCTCTATTAGAAAAAACAAAATTCATAAAACAAAATCTAGTAAGGACAAATTGCCAAAGGTAACACAAGAATATTATGATTCTGAAATTATGAATTGAGGAAAAATGACAAACCTGTGGATGGCTCTGCCCAATTCGCACTAAAAGTGATTGTATAAGTTCTCTCACAGCATGGTTGTTTGAATGTATCCTAGCAATTATCTGAGGCAAAACAGCCAACCAAGTGTTGATATTAACATGTTCAAATCCCTTTTGCAATGCCATTTGAACCTCTGCTGTAGCTCCATGGTTGAACCACAATGTGAGAAGACGAAGTATATCCTGAAACCCAAAAGAACAAAAGGAGAAAGGTCAATTAAAATAAGAGGATTGTACTTAATGAACTAAATAAACAGAACATGCTCCAGATGTAATTCACATGTCAGTTGTGATTCAAGACAGAATTCAATGGATCTCTGAGAAGTAGAGAGATGCACCTTGAAAAGTATGTGTTGTGTATGTCCATATCAATTAAATTAATATACATGAACATATTTATGTGTTTGCAAGAAGTAACCTGAGGTTTGCCAGGGTCAATTGACTTCAAAATCAAGACCCCCCCATATATTTTGTTCAAATGGATATAGTATCTACAGATGCATAACCTCCTACTTGATTTAAAAGAGTTCTCATTTAATGAAATTGGTTAGTGATCAATGCAGTAGAGTGAGATGAATGATATAGTGTCAACCATATTTCATCGAATAAAACACAAGTTGCTGGAGAAGAAGTGCATTGTATTTGTCTCGTCCCAGGCCATAAACTTTATGAGTGCAACCCTACAAAAGTAGAGAGGCCAGAATTTGGCTGTGACATGCTACTGCTAATTAAGGTTATGCCTTCCATCTTACAGATTCTCAACCTCTGCATCTACTCTTATCCACAAATGCACCTGAAGGCAGTAACACAAACAAACTCCAGTGGATACTTGATAGAAGGGGAAAAAGTGCAAGAAGATGACTTGGATTTCTCACAGAGAAACAAAGGAAAATGGACTCAGCCAATGGAAAATGTGAGGAGTTTTAAGAGGAAAAAGTGCAAGAAGATGACTTGGATTTCTCACAGAGAAACAAAGGAAAATGGACTCAGCCAATGGAAAATGTGAGGAGTTTAAGAGGAAAAAGTGCAAGAAGATGACTTGGATTTCTCACAGAGAAACAAAGGAAAATGGACTCAGCCGATGCATAATGTGATGAGTTTATAACTAGTAGTCCACACAACTAGGATGACTTTTATATCGCATTGAACATGTAGATCAAGGGACATGGTTACCTGTAAACTGTCATCCACACCCTTTGCATTAGCAGCACATGCTATGGAGTGAAAGTATCCAGTGACTGCCGCAACAACAAACTGTGCTGCAATAGTAGGAAAACCTCTTACAGTATAAATAGACATCACTGCAGTATTAAATAGAGCCCATGAATGCCATGCTTCTGCCCACTTTGATGCGTAGTGAGTGGCATTTCTGAATGCATTCAAGATTTCTGCAAAGATTGCAAATTAATGATCACAAAGATAGTCACACAAGGAAAAATCATCGGCTGAAGAGAAGAGATGGAAAAGAACAAAGAAAATTCATCAAGATGATTGCCTTCTATAGAATCATCATCCAGTAAAGGAGAAAGTGCCCACTGCCAAGTTCCAAGTTCGAGATATACTTGGGCAATAAGCGGAACATTTGACACACCCAATAAACCAGTTGATGTAACTGGTTCAATGTTAGGTGAGGTTGAAATCTCTATGGCTAGATCCTGCAGCATACAACAAAGTAGGAGGAAGGAATTATTATAATAAAGCACATCAATACTGAAAAATACTAGGATAAATACACACTTTCAAGTATTCATTATTTCCAATAAGAAATAGGAAACAGTGATGCAAACCTAAATGGAAAAAATCATAGCATACCTGCAGTTTAGCGAAGGCTTCCCTACGCTTATGGTCCTCTCCAAGTGACCATTGGTATTTTAAGTATGCTAGCATCACTTGCGGAGGACCATGATACCGTATATTTTCAAGGCATGTTTCAGGGTCAAACTGAATGATAAAGAGCAAAGTCAACAATCACACAGGCAGAAAAGTAAACTGAACACCGAAAGAGCATCCACATTAATTTTCAAAGACTGACCCGTAGAAGTTTAATTAATGTAGATTTAGCCTGACTAATTCGGCCACTTTTTTGGCAAAGAGAAGCAAACTTAATCCAAGTATCAATGTCTTCTTTAGGTGGCAGTACAAGTGCCCTAACTGCCAAAAGTGCTTGCCAAACCTGTGCTTTCAAGATGTCAATTATTATGATGGCACAAACATAAGAATCCCACACATGAAGCATAGACAGCTAAAATTCAATAAAAAAAATTGTGAAGAAACACTAAAGATACGACAGCTCTTACAAAGCACATGGTTTTAGTCATACATTCTTATTCAAACTCACTAGCTATATACAATTTTAGTTTTTTTAGCACCATATTGTCAAAGCAAATTTTCATATCACCCATTAGACCTGACTACAAGAGTGAAAGCTATGTACAAAATGCAAATTAAATCCCACTAAATCAACAGATGGGTGTCCAGCTTCTTTGTCCACTTAAACCATGTGCACATGTGGTTCTCCCTCTATTATTGCTTTTTCAATGTGTACTTATGCATTGGTGCTTTGAACAGAGTAAAGATCAGAAGCATATTTACCTCTACATTTCGTTTTGCACCTTGTATGCGCTCATTCCACATATTACGTATGAGTGCACGTCGCCCTTCAGCGACAGTGTTTCCCACAGGAAGAGTACAGTAATCAATGACCTGTTGAAACACAAATTTTCTCCATTGTGATCCAAGTGGAGCATACTTGCTAAAAAGAAAAGTGTATTCAGAAAATAAATAGAGCAAACCTCCTCTAATTCTGACAGCTGTTGAACACGAACCATATTGCTGTATGCACGATCATAGCTCTCTAGAACCTGAAGAACAAAAATACTAAAGATTGACACATCATATATTATTGCACAATTGAATTCTCTACATTGCCCAGATTTCTCAGCAAACTAAACAAGAAGCACAGGTGGGATAAGCAGATACTCAGATTAAAACAAACAGTTCAACAAGCATACTGCCACAAATTTGCACCCAGCCTTCTACAAAATTTTAGAGCATACATCATTTAGGTCTTCCACAAATTTAAACAGCGCCCCCCCCCCCCTCTGTGAAGTAGACGATGGTAGGGGCGCCCTGTTCTCAAAATTAGCATGCTTTGTCTCGGTGAAGGATCTCCTGTCCTTCCTGTAATACATCCTAATACCATTTCAGCTTATATTGGGGTAATAGGTACAAAACACTATAACACGAACTACTTAGTATTCAAAGGCTATCAAGAAAAAGTTTTAAAATATCATGTTCAATATTAGTTTCACTTACAAAACTTTACCCATAACTAAAATTTAAAATTACACTAGCACCATGCACTAAACTAGTAAATATTTGCTTGATGCTTCAATAGCTGATGTAGAGAAAACCTCCAGCATAGTGCATGTGAGTTATAGCAGAAGATTCATTCTTCCATGTTTGAGATCTGATTCCAAGTCATTGCTAATGTACATTTTCTGAAACTTAACCGAAATTCTTACAATTTGAAAAAACTTATAAATGACAGCCAAAACGAGATCAATATTAATCATGAACAAGTCTACATTCTGAGGTCTCAATCTCAGCCAATATCAATGTCCCTTTTTCAAATGTCAAATCAATGGCAGGAGTCCAGGAAAATCTCTCACTCCTATGTCAACAAAGTTTTACAAGTACCCCTCTCATTTTACACACTCACATTGTAAGGGGTATATTGCAAAAACCACAGTTGTCTCAGATTTGGGGCACTTTAAGTTACACTTTGCCCCCCTCAACTATCAAATTGTCAGTATAACCAAACAAATAGACAACTTAAATTTCCCATTCTAACCTAAGGGCTTTAAAAACATTCTTTGTGCACTACTGTTTGCTGTGCATTTCAATGGCACAAAAATAATCCCAAAATGTCAGCATAGGAAAATATATCAGGAGCCATCGATTAACAACTATAAATAATAAAAAAAATGGTGGCAAGTTGAGTTGCGTCGGGAAGTGCAAGATTGGGAGGTAGGTCAGTTGTTGGATTTGCTGGGCTTTTTGTATGGGCTTAAGTTTGGAGGGGTGGGTGAGGATACTCTTAGGTGGGAGTGCCAGAAGTCCAAAGGGGTATTTTCTGTATCTTCTTTTTACCATGGGCTTACGGGTGGGGCTGGGGTGACATTTCCATGGAAGAATGTTTGGGTGGTGGGTTGTCTGTCCAAAGTCACTTTCTTTGTGTGGACAGCAATGTTAGGCCATATTTTGACGATTGATACCACCATTGTCATTAGCGTTATAGGCACCATTGTTGCCTCCATCACCACCATCATCAACTCACTATCACAATATAAAATTTAAAAATAATAATTTTCAAATTTAATATTATAACTTGTTTTAATTCAACACTTAAATTTTTATCAAAGAACTTTTCAGTTTAAAAAATTCAGCTTTAAGCTTTCAGTACTTAATTTTTAGTATTCAGTTTCAATTTTATCAAACACCACTGAAATGTGCATCTAAAGTCATCTACATTGATGATGTCAGCATATCAATTTAATCATGTTTTATTAAATTCTCAATAATGCTCACAGAGAAAGAGTAGAACAATCTTGAATAATGGTTTGAATGTATCCAATTAAGCTGATACCTTGTATGTTTGGTTAAAAAAAATAGTAAAAACCATTGTCGTAATCTTGATATGCCTTAAAAAGGATAAAATTACCTATCTTTCTACTTTAGAATCAAAACAAATAATGGGACCCCATGATCTAATACATCCATTAGCTACATACATCACTCGAAAACCTAGATATCATCATTTTTACTTTTCAATGCAATCAATCAATTCTGAGGTCAATGACCAGAAATTAATATTTTTATAAGGATAAAATGTTCAACAACCAAGAAACTTATACAAAAAAGGTCTACTTAAGAATAATAGAAAGACAGAATGCAAGCATATGAGAAGGAATAAGAAACTAACCAAAGCAGCAAGCTCAGTAGCTAAACATTCCCTTGCTCTCTCAACAAATTTACGTGCTTCACCATACTGAAGACATTATACCAGACTGATAAGTAATAAATAGACCAAACTAAGATCAATAACAACAATAGTCAAACTAAGATCAAATAGAACACCTTCCCCTTACGAACTAATAAAACAGCCCTAAAAAATGCACCATTACTACTTCCATCACCAGTAGCACTAGTGTTGCCCAAAACCCGTAGTTTGGTTTCATCACCATCATCCAGTCGAGATACATACTCTGCCATCTGATCCCATTCTCCCATGTTCCATGCAGCACTAGCAGCCTGGTACAAACGCATAAGATACTTTAGTAAAACCAGTAAGAATATATTTAACAGCCACTCAAATCTAATGTAAAAACAAACCAGTGGAGCCATTTCCAGTTGAGCAGCTGGCTCAGCTGAGGTCCAAAATTCTTTGCACAGGTTATTAAGCTCTTCCCAACGAGCCAATGCAGCCAGGCATCGTATCCGTCCTGATGAAAAAAACATGACAAGAAAAAACATGAAATGCAAGACAGTATTAGAATTAACATAAGAAATATAATAATAAAATTCCAAAAATAATTGAAATCACAAAATTTCCATTTTCCGCTCCCCTAGATGGTCATATGCAAAAAAGCATACTGCAAAATCTGTTAGAACATAAAATACGATAAAACACAAATGTATGCTTTCACATCTGTTGCTTTAGGGCCATCATAACCATTCATATTCTAGAAAAGAGAGGATGGGGGGATCCTTGAATTGTATTAGGCATCAAGGGTGTACACTAGAATATACAAAGCAAAGGCCTCTACAGTTGTACTCTTGACTATTCACAAAATCCAAAATAGCAAGGTGAGATCCACCCTTCCTTTCACCCCAGAAAACAAAAAATTCAAAGCCTACTACACTAGAACAAAAAAATCCTCCTCTTCAAAGGATTGCCTATTCCTTTGTCCCCATGTACATAACATCAAACAGAGAGGAGCACCATTCCAGCCCTTCGTATTTTGATTTAACATGAATCCTGTTAGAATAACTGTATAGAGAAAGGGAGAGAATAAACTATGTATATATTGATGTATTGAATGGTGTATATTACAAATGGTGAGGGGCTCCTTATATAGGAGAGGGACTGAGAGTGGCCGAAGCACTATTATTACATACATCCGAAAGGCTAACAGCACTAGCACTAAAGTAAGCATAAAGTAAGCATACATTAATATACACTAACATAAAATATATTAACAGCCCCCCTCAAACTCAAGGAGGATAAACATAAACCAACTTGAGTTTGGAGAGAGTAACAAACAGGAAAATAAACTGATAAATAAAATAAAATAGGATAGGAGACACTGTATGGTTGTGTCAAATCGTTGTTGAAGACACGGTATGGTCGTGTCACACCATTGGAGAAGACACTGTATGGTCGTGTCGGACCGTGTAGCAGATAATGTCTTGACAGTTTACGAGGTCATGCCGGACTGATGTAGAAGCTAACCGGAATCAATGTCGGAACAGTTTATGGGGTCATGCCGGACCGTTGTAAAAGCTAGCCGGAATCAATGTCGGGACAGTTTATGGGGTCATGCCGGACCGATGTAGCAGACACTGTGTGGTCGTGTCAGACCGTGGGAGCCCAAAAGAGACATATATATATATATATAGATATATATATCGCATCCTCAAAAATCGTGCCCAATCTATCAAAAGGCGTGCCATCAAAAGGCGTGCCCAACAAAAATCGTCGAGCGGCGAGCCATCAAAAGGGGCGCCGGACACGCGGCGATGCACGTGACCGACAGAGTGTCGTGTCGACCGCTTCGGCATTGTCTATATAAACCAAAGCGAAGCGTGAGGCTTGGAAGCAGAACAAACCAGTTGAAACCTCTTTGTTCTCTGAGAGCTTTTCTCTAAGAGCTGCAAACCCTGAAACACTCTGTAACATCTGAAACACTCAGCAACCCATAACATGGCCTCTTCTTCCCGTTCAGCTACCCAGAACATGGCCTCTTCTTCCCGTGGTCTGCTCACTCTCTTTCCCGACCTCAACAAGTCCACAAGAGAGATAACCGGTGCGGTGGCCCTTGAACCGCAACCAAGCGCCCCTGGTTTTGCTCCGTTGACCTTTCCTATGCGGTCTGTGGAGCAAATAATGGCAGCGCAATCGGATATTGAGGCCAATCAGTATACATTGAAGTCATGTGTGGAGACCATGACTGCAGTTACAAACTTGTCGCACCGGCTTCAGAGTAGGACAAATGAGGTGCAGCAGTTAAACGCCCAACTGGCTCTGCTCCAGCGCATGTATAAGGATACGCGAGCAGAAATATGTGTACTAAAGACGGAAAACAAGGAGCTGAAGCGGAAGGCCACCGTGATGTTCCGATTTGGAGGTCCGCCATATGCTGCAGTGGAGGAGCAGGGGGGAGTGAACGTGTTCAGTGGATTAGGAAGTACTGAGACCGGGCTGTCACGGGACACCTAAGAGAAAAGTAAGAAGAAGAGAATAGTGGAAGAGGCAAAAAAGTAAGGCCGGTGTTTAGGATGAGATTTTTTTTGTTTGTTTGTTTGTTTGTTTTGTATTTTTTTTTTTTTTTTTTTTTTTGTTTTTGGTGTAAATTTTTTTTTTTTTTTTTTTTTTTTTTTTTTTGGTTGTGGTGTAAAATTGTGATCGGGGTTGATCCCGGCATGAAAAAAATGACAAGTTTGTGGAATGAAAACCGAGTTGGTTGTGAATGGATTTTTTTTTATTATTATTTTTTTTTTTTGATTACGAAAAAAAGGAAGTGAAAGATGTCGTTTTGGTGGGAGAGATGATTATGTTTTCAAAAAGAAGAGATCTCTGGTGGTGTTGTTTTTCTTTTTCTTTTTTTTTTTTTTTGTGAAAAATGGAACACAAGAAAGATAAGATAAATAAATAAAGGTATTCCTTTTGGTGGTGAGGGAGTCGGTGAGTGGGGTGCAAAAGGTGAAAGAAGATAGGTTAGAAAGTTGACAAAATGGTGGGTGTCCTTGTGTGGAGAGAGAGAGAGTGTGAAAAGTATGTTTTCAAACTGCCAAAAAAGAGGAGAGAAAATAATAATAATAATTATTATTATTATAAAATAAGTAAAAAGTTGCTAGAGATATGGTGAGGCTCCCATGCTTCCTGTTGGTGTCGGCAGGTTCTTGATCGCACTTTTTCTTAGACCACTTGTTTGACGAAGGGAATGAGTGGAGTTTGTTGAGGTGGACACCACGTGTTCTTTGGATAGTCTCAGGCACATAGAGAGAGTGATTACACGCATCAAATGAAATTAAACGAACGGCTTTATCAGTAACTTGGCCGTGGAGTACTATTGTCGTCGTCATCATCAAGAATGAAGAGGCCCCAGGAGAGAGATGTCAGTAAGGAGATTTCGCAGGCGATGTCAAGAGAGCTACAAGCACCATCGACAGGCTGGTTCATGAGTCACTGTAGATGGAATTCATGCCTGGAGAGCAACACCCCGGGAGTGCCGATAGCGGCCTGGCCGATGCACTCGGATCAACCCAAGAATGCATTTCTGGTAACAGAGATATTGAAGGCTGGTTTGGTTGCTAAGCAATGGGTGGCAAACCAGGAGGAGGTAGTGGCTTCATCAGCCATTGAATAGAGTGAACGACTTGCACGGCTTCGAAAATGCGAGATTCCGACGGGTCGGCCCTTTCTGCAGAAAAGACAGAGAGAGAGAGGCCTTGGTCTTAGCCCATGTGTGTTGGTGGAGGTGACCAAGATGGATGATGGTGATGATGCTCTGATCTTGAAGGTGAATGTTGAATTGGGTTTAGTGGCAGCGGAGTCAAGGTATGTGTAGAGGTCCGGCGGGCGGCCAAGGCGAGGCTGCCGCCCGCTGGTGAAGCAGAATTACTAGGTTCTTAACCTAGCTCTGATACCATGTTAGAATAACTGTATAGAGAAAGGGAGAGAATAAATTATGTATATATTGATGTATTGAATGGTGTATATTACAAATGGTGAGGGGCTCCTTATATAGGAGAGGGACTGAGAGTGGCCGAAGCACTATTATTACATACAGCCGAAAGGCTAACAGCACTAGCACTAAAGTAAGCATAAAGTAAGCATACATTAATATACACTAACATAAAATATATTAACAAATCCCCACTCCAACTCTTCAACACAGCTGCCACCATTTCAGGAAAAACCCAACAAACTCCAAAAAACATCAAAACCAACAGCCACATCTATCTAGGACCGCCGCTTACTTGCACATATGACACCAAGTGGGAAAATTTTCTTTATTGACAGCTTGCAAAGAGCTAAAGAAGGTTGCTCTTCAATTTTTTTCTAGTTAATTGGGTGATTCCAGTATGGTCCTTTCGTTGAATGGCTGTTCATTCATAGGATGCACTTGGAAGATATTCCAACAGGTTTAAGTGGCAGCTCCATTGTGTGAGATTACAACACAATGGAGTTTTAGTGCCATTCTTTCTCATGACACCCAAAAAGAGGCCAAAAAACAAATCCCTTCCCAAATACTTTCAAGATCTTCTTTGCCCTACAAAATTCTAGCATTCCTTCTAGCCATAAAACCCAAAGAACTGCACAAACCATACATCTCCAAAAAGCCCATACCTTGCCATTTGATCCAAAACCTTTGAAGTCAATGCAAAGCAAATGATCAGAAGAGGATGGAATTGTTAGAATAGGAATTATATTAGAATAGGAATTAAGGTAGAATAGGAATTAAGTGATTGTGTGATTGTGTTTCCTTATATTATACTCAATATTATCAATATAAAAGGGAATAGAGTCTAACTCATTCCCTAACCTTTTGTCTTCTCTAAACTTTCATGGTATCAGAGCCACAACCCTAGCTCATCCCTCCTTACCTCTATCGGCAGTCCTGTCTTGAGTCCAGGAGACCCGACAGCCACTGTAGACCCTCAGATAGCCACCATCGACCCTCTGACAGCCCAAACCCCACCTCCGCCAGCCTTGCCCAAACCTTTGACAGTTCACCTGGGCTCCCCAACAGCTTATTAGGCTTAATCGGCAGCTTCTCTAACTGTCTAGGGGCTTGTCGGCAGCCCCTTGGCCTTCATGGTCCTTGTCGACAGCGTCTTTGGTATACGTGACTCCGATCGGCATCTCTGAGTTTTCGTCTGCCTTCGTCTTTGTCTATCTTGGTTGGATTGTCTGTCTGGGTTGGGTAAGTCAACACCCTTTCCTTCTCTTTTAATTTTTTTTAAAACACAACCAGAAGAAAAATAAATAAATAAATAAAAAAATTTAAAAAAAAATCTAGCTTTTTAAATTCTTTATGTTTTTATAGTTCTTCTTGTCCTGATTCCTCCACTGTCATCTCTCGGATTTGTAATTGGCTTTGTGATTGACAAGGAAGCACGGGTGCGGGTACGAGTATGGTACGGGTACGAGTGCGGGTACGCCGATTCGGCAAAACTCAAAAAAAGTACGATACGGGTACGGCTACGGTACGCCGAT